TATATATATTATAATATTCCCCATATGGACCTCTCTGTTGACATCCACCCCTTGGCGCTCATATGACCTTATGCAGTTGCGAGCCCGTAAAAACTTTACTAAAACTAAACTAAAGAGATCCTTGGCGTCTTTCGGTCCTTTGCTGCTGAACATACACTGGGCACTGACCCTTCACGACATACAAAGTGATCTCAGACCAGGGGTCACAAACTCAAACTAGCTTTGTCCAATCTGGCTCGATGTGGAGGTGTGTGTGTGTGCGGGGGTGGGGGGGGAGGGGCAAGTGATACCCTTCGAATAGCTTCAAGATGCTCATCAGCAACGCTGTACTTTGATTGTGGAGACGAGTTTTTCACAAAGACCACGAGTCACGAGCCAGGTGAGATCGTGGAGAGGGGGGAGGGGGGTGATGTCTCCATCTGTGACAGTCAAGGGTAAAGGCTTGGGAGCATTGTTGTTGTGACCATAGTCATGCAGTGTGTCTTAATTAACTATCCGTACGCCTTGGGGACATTTTGTAACCCGGGGGTTGTATTCTTTACATTTTAGAATATTTTTAATGCGAAGATCTCTTTGAAACTTTCAGTATTTCTCAAAAAATCATTTTGACAGACTGCTATGCAAAGCGTACGGAATGGATTAACGAGTAACTTTCCTCTTGGGAAAGTGGTGGCACAGAGGTCCCCACGTCGTACGGATACGATAGTAAAACACGACGTACGGATAGGGTTAAGCAAAAATCTTTTCAAGATGAACACAAAACTACTGTGCTACCAGAAAGGCACGTGGTCCCATCGAGCACCCTGGAAAACTCAAGGAATGTAGGGAACAATTCTCCCAAACATTAACCAAGCTTGGGGCCTTACTAACACTAAACTTTGAATGTTAAATGTGAGGCAGCGCGGTGGAATCAGGCTCTCGTCAAAATAATCAGTGAATAAACTTGCATTTTTCCGCAGGCTTGTGAATTTTTATCAAATTTTTGTTTTTTGGCTCAACACCTTTTATGCCCATTAAAGAACTCATTTTTGTGTAGATTTTTCTGAAAAACGTTGACTAAAGGCACACAAAAAGTCAATTTTCAGTTACCACGGACTCTTAAGATAAGGAAATAACTAATCTTTGGCGGCCATTTTCTCACTAATTTTACCTCTGAAAATACGAGTGGGTGACCCCCACCTCCATCATTAGCATTTATCTCGACTTGTATTCAAGATAAATGGATATTTTTTCCATCCATATAAAGACAAGTGAACAAGCTTTAAGATGATACCAATAACTCAACATGCCCAAAATTGACGAGAACCTGATTCCACCACGCTGCCTCACAAATAGTTAGGGCCGAAAGCCTAAAAACATCGCCATATTCGCTGCAAGTGTGAGATCTTTGTCATTGACAACTCGCAAACCCAGAATAAACCTGTTCAAACTTTGATTTTTTAGTGTCCGGGGTCTCCTCTTTTGTGCCCTCTACACCAAATGCAAAAGAAAGAACTAATATTGCTTTTTCTGAGAAAAAAACAAAACTATATGATTCTTTTGTTGTTCACTTGAAGCAGGTACAGATTGTAAAGAATTTGAACTCCGATATCTTAATGTATCAAACGAGAGAGTATCTAACATAAAACCTTGTCATTTTGGAGCCTCGAGTTGCAGGAACGACTTCAGAACGTCAAAAGCCACAGCAGTCTACCAAACTGTAAGCTGAATCCTTGACAGTATGTACGAACCTAAAATGATTATTTTGTAGTCAACAAGCTTTGTAAGTTGCCAAACATCTGCTGACATTTTCTCTCTAATTTTTCCTCTGACTCTAGTCACCCCATCACCTTCATCGCAAATATCTCGACTACTGATCAAGATAGACAGGTACTTTTTCACCAAAAGTAAAAAAATTGAACAAACTTTAGGATTAAGCCAATAAATTCATACTATGTAAGAAAAACAACAACAACAAAAAAAGCCAAACCAACAACAACTGACAAGCGCTTGATTCCACTGTGTCGCGACACATATTATCATTTGAATTTCAAGTTTCAGATACGCCAGCCCCACAGTAATCAGTGCGAATACAGTCAGTGACACACCCGTTTTATTTTCACTCCTTAAATTTCCACTCTACACAGTTGTTCGCTCATCTAATTTTTCTGTCCCTTGTGCCGCCTACAATTGACAGCTCCTACGTGCGAGTACTTCTACTCCTTAAAGAGTGCGGTCACGTTTGATGTGACGCCACAGATGCATGCGTTCTGCTATGAAACTGGTACTTTGGCAACATGAACAAACATGCATTGTCTTTGAGATCCTGTTCACAGGCTGTACAAAGAACAACTACTACTCATTTTTAGTTTGGCTATTTTCACTTTCATCTTTCTGATGGCTTTCGAGTGCACGCATGTTTAACTTGCGCATGGTATGGGGGAGAAATTCACATGTCGAAACTTTGAAAAACTGTTATCAAAGCTAATTCTGTCTTCAGAAACCAACATCAGTCTTGCACGAAACTCAAAATATCGATGAAGGGGAAAATTCAGATAATGATACTTTTTTGCGCAAAAAAAGTTTCAAGTGCATGCACATTTCACTTGCAACAGTGAAGACTGTAAATGGTTCTTCTAAGTATCGACATGAATTTCCCCCTTCATCATTATTCGAGTTTCATGCAAAACTGACGTTGATATCTGAAGACAGAATCAGCTGTGAAAACGGTT